GGCTTGATAGTAAGGAGAGGGTTTTCATCTTGGGTAGCATTTTCTTTTGTTTCACTTCAGAGTTTGGAAAACACAAATATCTTGAAATAATATTCCAAGTAGGCAGCTCAAATTATGAGCTTGATCTCCCTTTCCCTTACTCCAAGTTACCAATTACTTGTGCAGGACTAAGGTTACATACAGGTGAGATTCTTGAGAAAACGGTTCATGTTCTATTTTCCAACTGAGAATTGCTAATGCTCATAAAGATTAACAACTGTGAACTGGAAGAATAATGATAGTGCCTTTAACTGTCCACTAAAACAAACAAATCATCATAATGAAACAGCATGTAATTGATATATATTATAAGGCATGAACCTCTCTCATTTATGCCAAGCTAGGGACCATATGGGCAGTGGGCACCTTCTGAATTTGCGGTTGAGTGGGCTCATGAATCATATATCCTGACTGCAACTTTGGCTCTAGTGAAGTCAACCGCAATTGTAACAATGTCTTCAGTGGGGCTAGGACTTAGAGCACCCCACCACCATTTTTTCAGTGCAGGGATACTGATACATGTGATGATCGGGTGCTTTTAATTAGCATGGCTCACTAATTAAAGCACCACCCACTCTCACCTCCCAGAGCATGTGTAAAAAAGCCCTTAGAGACTAACTGACTGAGGGAGACATGAGCTTTTATAGTTAACAACCTACTTCTTCAGATGGTATCTGACAGCATCTGATGAAGGATATCAGGAATTGGCAACCTTCTACTGACAGCAGGCCAGCCCTTGTGACCCAGTCAGTACTGCCCACCCCCTGCTCTGTGCAGAGGGGCTGATTTCTTACCTGAATATTCCAAACTAATCACTTTTTTTTTTCCTGAGCTCCTCAGCTCCTGGCAGATTTACAACTAGCTGTAGGCTGCTGTTCTTACCAGCACCCAGATAAGTGTTTTAAATGTTCTACCTTAGTGCAGCAAAATGCTTAAGCATATGTTTTACTTAAAAAAAATAAAAATAAAAAAAAATAAAAAAAAACACAAAACCCACATGCAGTGGGTAAGATATTACTGGTTCTAAGGGTGTCCTGCATTATAAATATAAGCTATCACAAGAAGCCAGTAATATCCTACCTATCATTGTGCACATGTTTTCACACGCGCACACACATGCACAAGCACATGCACACACAGAGCCATAAATAACAATCCTTAAGTGAATGGCTTACTGTATACTGGCATGTCCAGAGTGTTTTTGACTAGAAGGTAAAAGGAAGAGTTTTGACCACACAGAATTATGTTTTCTAGGAATATTATCCCTGGGGAATTGCTTATGTTATTACTATTGCTGTGGAGTCTGGGGCTGTTGCTCTCCACAGCAGATACACATACGGTAAATGCAGTCTCTTCCTCATGAAGCTTATAATCTAAACATCAGGACATAAGTGGATGAAACAAATCATGGCGAGGCAGTGGGTAACAAAAATAATGGGATATTCTAATACAGCTTAGCTGTGTGTACAACCCAGCCAACTATAAGAGTAAATCACAAGTCCTCTTGTGAATTATTGCATTTGTGGTTTAAAAAAAATAAGCTGCTTTATAATAAAATAATTTTAGCAAACCTATTCTTCCTCAAGATACTTTATTTAGTTTTAGGCAATCTTTATAGGTTACTTTAATATAACTCTAAGACAGTTATTCAAAATACCAATAGGCACCACTCTGTTTTGTACCTTCTTATATTTTGGAGTGATTTATTATCAGCTAAAGTACTTACTCCTATTTTAGATGGGATTTTTAAAACAATTTCTTCACTTTTGTCTTCACTTCACTTGCGATATATTGTAATTTGATTTTGCACCTACTTCGTCAAAGCATTTAGGTCTGAGTTTAATTTTAAGTGTCTGCTGTAATCTGAGAGGATTTAAGCATATGCTTAAGTGAGTTGCTGAACTGGAAACTTAATCTCCCACTGTAACTCTACAAAATGTTTACAAATTAGAAAGATATACAGGGATTTTGATCATTTCCTTGGATAGTACCAGTGAAGAGATAAAGTTACTCTTATTACTGGTTGAATGCCAATGGTGAAGAACACACATATAAACAAGTCCATTCTTAATTTGTGTACTATAATCCTGAGAAAATGCCTCTTCTCCTAAAAGCCAAGATTTTCAAATGGATCATCAATTTTGGATACATACATTTATGGTGCCTAAACTGAAATACCTTAAACGGACCCATGTGTCAGAAGACAGGGGATCAGCATTAAGTCTCAGCATGGTATCTCAAGACAAACATCCAAAAATGAAAATACACAACGTTAAGTCATTTTCAAATATTGTAATATGTAAATACATTATAAATGTATGCAACTACACTGTATATTTGTATTTACACACCATAAATACAGTGTGCATGCGTGCTTGTGTACGTGAGCTGGGTCATTCTGGCTCCCCTGCTGGAAAGCTTTACCAACCTCCAGCATAAACCCTCACAGCTCTGAAAATTACTACAGTGTTTACAAAAGGTTTTATGTTCACCATGTCAAGTATGAAATAAAGCCTAGAACTGGTTAGAATATACACACATGTGTATGTATGTGTATATACACACGTGTTTATATATGTGTGTACATACACACACACACCCTATCAGAGCACCACATTGTCTTCTACATTTACAGAAACAGGCCCACAGAATTTGACTTCTGTACAATGCAAAAACTGTAGGATCATATTGCTTGCATTGTAATCACTAGGGGTGCCTATACATGTGCTCCTGGGTGGTGGGGGAAGGGCATTTTAATTTGAGCAGCTTTTGGGAGCCACTAACTAAAACACCGCAGTGTCTCATGTATTTAGTGTCCCACAGTTCAAAGTGTCCACACTGGGTGCTTTAAAGCCTGTTCGACGAGCTTTAGTTAAAACTCCCCACTGCTATTTTGAAATGTGGGATGAGGAATACATGCGACATGGCAGCACACAGGAGCATTGTAATTAGAAGGCTCCAGCTGTCTGTCTGCTCCAACACATTCTAATAGAAACACTTTAGAGCATATGTATAGGCTGTGCTAGGTTGTCAGACTTAAAATCAATCCTCCAAAGATTGGGTTAAAAGATCAAGCTGCTTGTGATCTAAAATCAAATTTAGAATCTTTCTCCGTACAAGCAAGCTGTTTTTAAAACTTCTAATTTCTGCATTTGAAGTTAGTAAAATAATGCATACTCATAACTTGCATAAGCCAGCAAACATATACCAAGCAAGCAGAAAATCTGTCTGGGCCTCATACACAGTTGCCATGCTTTTTGTTTCAGTTTTACTGGGAAGTCATCAGCACTACCTGTGTCCCAGCAAGCTAAACCTCTCTATTTGAAATAGCACAAGAGTGCCTGGTACCAACACTCATATTTGTAATGATACTACATGTCACTGCAAGACATAACATACTGAAAATGCTTATGCTCCTATTTTCTAAAAAACTCTGTTGCAACTTTATAGAAAAGCATCCAAAGATGTTTTGCAGATAACAGACAGAAAATTTTATTTAAAAATTGAATATTCCCTCATGAAATGTAGTAAATTAAATCTTAAATAAAAGTTAATGGTATACTGTCAAATTTTTATAATTGACTAATTAAAAAAAAATTTCAATTTTACCTTTCAAATATCAGGTTCTGAAATTTTAAAGAAGAGTCTTTAAAAAACAAAGCAAGAACAAAAAAGGATGAAGATTGTTGTTCCCACTAATGTGGAGAAGAATATTTTCAGCGTGGGAGACGCTGACTTTGACAGAATGAGACAGATTGTTACAGAGTGTTATCCAATACATAAAACGATAAATTAAAAGAAAAATAGCGGCTGGAGAAATTTGTGGTTTCCAATTATAAGTGATTTTTCACATTTTTCAAAAACATTTCTTGCAATTTTTCATGAATTTAGTATTTTCTTATCATCAATAAAAATGATACTAAGTCTTTCATAGTAACAGTTTTCTAGCCTAAACAATAAAATAAGCTACTCCTAAGCAAGACCTAAAAGTCCCACTTGCTTTTGTACAATAAAATGATTTATACACAAGATCAGAGAATAACCCTATGCTTATGACTTGCTACTTATTGGCAGCTTTGGTCAAGACTTGGCTCCAAAGGGGTGATAGAGTCAATGTCATCAAGCCTACCACATTCTAGATGAAGGTTTCATTTACTAATGCAAATGAACTCACAGCCTATCAGGAAGCAGCTAATTAGAAGTGGTGAAATTAACTTTGTTGTTGCTAAGAACTGCCATACACAGAACACCTAGCAGAGAGTTGTGTACAAAACTGGTGAGCAAGATCCTCAAGTGGTGTGTAAACTCATATGGCTCCATTGACTTCAATGGCACTATGCTGATCTACACCAACTGAGGATATGGGTTATTGTTTTCAGTGATAAATTAGTTTCTTATTGGTTGAATTTCAAACCAATCAAAATCCAGTCTTTATAAAACTAGTCCAAGCTAACTACACTTCTATGTACCTGCTATTTTGGTTTCTTAACCGATAATATCATATAAATTCAGCATTTTGACCAGATAGATTACTAAATTTTGAAAAGCAAATAAATCAGTATGTTTCTGAAAGAAACAGTCTTCCTCAACAGCCCAAATCCTGCAAATTTCTCCACATACATGGGTCCTTATACTTTGGTACACCTGGAGAAATCAATAAGGCTTCTCAGAGCAGCAATCAATCTGTAGCATTAGATTAAAACTGTACAACATATATTTATGGTGCTAAATACATGCTTTGCATTAATACAGTCTTCCCTACTGCTCCTAAATGAATGCAATGGAAAGCCACTGTCCAGTGACATTGGGACAGACTCTCTATTGCACTGCACCAGTTCTAGCTGGGTATAAGTCCATGGAGTAGAGAGTCCAATTCATTATCTCTAAAACATATACTTGGAAACAAAGAACAAATAATATTTTTAGCAGCTTATTAATCTAGGAAAAATGTTACACAAATGAAAGAGTCACAAAAATATTTATCTTTTCTAGACAAATCTGTTGAAAAATGCTGAAGTCTAACTTATGCTTTTTTGAGCACATTGGAACAATGCCACACAAAGTTGATTCTATTACTATTTATCATCTCATAACACAGAAGAAATAGTTCATTTATTTATTGCATTGCTAAACAAACCCTTTATATTTCCCCTAAAATCTATCTGAAAGTCGCATCTTGAGAAAATAATTCAATCTTCTTTTTAATAAACATTCATGTTTGTTATCTATGTCATTCTATATGGCAATACCATTTCAAGACTCAATAGGTGGTACTCAACTATATCTTCACATTATAAATTATCAATAACAGATAATAACATGCTTTCAATTTCAAATATTACTATCCTTCATTTTCTGCTAATCTACTTTTTCATGTCTATGCCACAGCAGCATATTCATTGGTTTGTTCATTTTTTTCACTTTCTTGTGGGCTGGTGATAGTTACTCTTGGGTTTGTTGATGTTTTTTCAGGATGAGAGTCAGCCTAAAGAAAAAAGAACCAAATAAATACTTTCAGTTTGTTGGGTAACGGATTTCATTGCATCCCAACGTGTAGTTCATTAAATGTCATGCTAGAATTGATGAAAAAATGGAGGCTGAGAGTCTTGTTTATCTTAAATAAATAGGATATGTAACAGCAAAAGGAGCAGAATTTTTGCCCCAATTAGAGCATGTCTGTAGTTTATTCCCAACCAGCAAGCATACCTTCCAAATTGAACCTCCAAAAAGTGTTACCTCTCTTGATAGCATCAATCAGAGGTCAGCAGCTTATGTCCCACAAACTGGATATGGCTTGCAAAGCCCTTGGGTTCAGCCCACGGAGCCATGGCTATGGCAGCATTCAGTGACAGGAGGGTCTCCCTGTGCCATGCCACAGTCAGCCACCTGGGGCTCTGATGGACAGGAAGTTCTGCCTGCTCCGCATGGGAGATGAGAGGGCTTTTGCCATGCCACACTGGAGCTGAGCAATGGGGAAGAGCAGTGGTTGGGCCCAAATGTCCATCCACCTCCAGCCTGAGCTGGGTCATTCTGGCCCCCCTGCCGAAAAACTTTACCAACCTCCAGCATAAACCCTCGCAGCTCTGAAAATTACTACAGTGTTTCCAAAAGGTTTTATGTCACCATGTCAAGTATAGAATAAAGCCTAGAACTAATTAGAATTAATTCCATTGGTACATGGCCTTTCTTTCTGTGGTTCAACTGAAAAATCAGCCTTACATATTGCACAAGTGGAAACAGAATAAGTGTCCATATCAGAAATAAGAAATGTTATCTTGAAGCTCATGAGACTATATACATATATAAATTTTCTTCTTTTCCTAATGGTACAGAACCAGGCAGTGGTCCATCCCACTTCAACGCTGGGGACTGCAGTATTTTTATACATTATATTAATGTATTATATTACATTATATTTATACCTACCTACCACTTAGCCACGAAAAGTCTGTTTCCTGATCAAGTTGCACATTGTGGTGGTTCCTGTGACACCAGATATTCCCACTTCCATTTCCTATAGCTGAAGGCCCTTTCTTATTAGCATACAGAGGAGTACAGCAGCAATCATATCCAAGTGTTGTACTCTACTCTTTGTCCTAAGTGACAATACTTGTGTTTTTAAAGAGAGGGTCCCTTGCCTGTAAGAGCCTTAGTTCACTGTCTCTTTCAAACCAACCAAACAAAAGAAATCAGTTATGCTGACCCAAATGAAAGTAGCAATATTTTTTAATGCAACTTCTGTGCATGGTGACTCATCCAACCAAAAAAAGTATTACAGTTCTTTAAACTAGTAGGCATGAACAGGCAACATTACGTTGTGTCTCTGCTCTGACCAAGGGAACAATGAAGTATCAAACCATACAAGAACTTAGCTCTTGAGAGTGTAAGTGTTCTACATGTCCAAATTTCTGCCGACTCATGGAAGCAGGGCCAGCAGACTGGAGCAACAGATATATTACATACTTTCCAGCTGGAGAATGAATTCTGAAATCACTGCTCATAAGATTTCAGGGTAGGCTCTAGAGACACCTATACACATGCTGGACATGTACTCTAATGCATGCTAATTAGCAAGCATCAGAGCAGACTCAGTTAATCAATTCTGCTAATTAGCATGCTCCAGCAGCCTCTGCTTCACATGTATTAAGCATCCCTGCACTTCAAAATGGTGGCAGGGGCAATTTAACCAACTCTTGTTGAATGAGCTTTAGGTAAAGCACCCTTACCGCCATTTTGAAGTGCAGCACACTGAAAACACATAACACTGCCAGCACTTAGAGCAGCTCTCACGGCCGCTCTAATTAAAGCATTCCCCCCCACCCCCCAGAGCACATTGTTCCTCCAAAATGAAGTTCCATGGGCCTAAACTCAAGGCCCAGAAGCTTAGTACTGGAATGAAGAGGTAATAGCATAATTGCAAAAAAGATTGAAAGGATAAACTGTTACCTGGCTTTGACAGTCCAACTCCTCTTGTATTTGTGCTTCCTCTTCATTGCGATTATTAAGCTGTTCCATTGCTTCACCATTCTCTGCATTTGTTTTGCCATTTAAGGAGGTTGTCTCATGTTCCTCCTTTGAGCCAACCTCCTCATCTTCTCCCTGCTCTTCTTCATAATGCCCATTTACTTCCTCTTCATTTTCTTTCAGCCCATTCCTTTCATTAACAGCCTCCCAGTGTTCCTCTCCATTCATCTCTCTATATGTTTCCTTTCCCTCATCTTTCTCTTCTTCCTGTTGGTCATTTTCTTCCTCATCTACAGTTTCTGCTGGCCTCTGATGAAAGCAAGAACAGTATTATACCACTGGCAAGCATATGTAATCAAAAACAATGTACTGTAATATAGCATGTACAAAGGCTATGGATAGACATAACAATTGAATTGTTTCAAAGGGCCAGCTGTACCACTTACAAGCCTTTTGAAATATTCCCAAAGTGTATGAAGGGCTCCAAAATGGTACCTTTTTAATGAGGTACTATTTTGAAATGTTTCATTTTTTTTGTTTCATCTCCATGGAAGATGGAGGGAGTGCAAGTGGACAGCCTGTGAGCTGTCTGGCTTCCAGGTCTCACTCTGGGTCCTGGAGTACTGCTAGACCCTGCTGGGCTTCCTCACTTATTGCTAGACCCAGAGCCAGGTTTACCACCCAACCCCCACCACCCTCCCCTGCCATTCCCCTACCAACTCCTAAGGTCCTCACCAATGCCAGGGCCAGGACCTCCAGCTCCAATTTCCTCTCAGGAAAACAGAGAAGTAGGGAGAGAGAAGAAGTAGAAGAAATTGGGGCTGGAGTATAAGAGTCCCAGTGGCCAGCCCCCACCTGGGCTGGAAGTTTGGCACATTAATTTGATAGCAACAAACTGGATTTTGTAGTAGTCAAATAAATCTTCCCTTCAAACATACTCTCACTATTCATTAAAAGATGTTTCTGGTTGTGAAATGTCATTTGACATTTGCAATTTGGTTGTGCAAGGTTGGAGAACAGGCAACCTGAGTCACTGCAAGAACACTAATTTGGTGGAATAGTACATCATGTCCTTTTACCAATGAGGAAGTTACCTTATACTCTTTCACCATCACAGCACTACATCCAATACCACTCATTCAAAAGCAAAGTCCTCTTTTCCTTCTTCCTTTGTGTTTGAGTGTACACCCACACACCCCTTGGCTATAGGCATTCTGAGCAACAGTAGAACATTTCCCAAAAATGCCCCTACTATAGGCAGGGAGTAAAAAGGCAAGAAAGCAACATCTTGAATTATTGGTGGGTTGTTTGGATAAGCAAATACCAGCTGCAAAAGTCTATGATAAACGGTTCCCATGGCTGCTGAGAATGAAACTAACATTCCCAAAGAAAGCCAGGCACCCTTAAGGTGCAAATAAAAGCCATTGTAAGAATACTGGCAGATGATTAGTGTCTCCTGATTAAATTTCTCCCCTTCATTTTGACATTTATTCCATCCCTTGTGAATTACTTATTAAAATAACTTTGTGTTGCATATTTTTCCTTTCATGTTACCTATCATGTATGGCATGTTGTAGGCATCTTACACTATTTCAAGTGTAGGGTTAAAGATATAAAATAATCAGCATAACAGTTCAGTTTTCCTCATGTTCCATTATGAAATTCATCAATTAGACTGCCTCAAAAGGAAGAAGCAAATCCACTCAAGATTCCTGACTGCCCTGCTCCCTACATCCTCCCCAGCTGTCCCTATATTCTCACATCAACCCAAAATCTCATGAAAAAGTTGGCTTTTGCAATGCACTCAGAAAACTAACAAATCTGGGTTCTGGCACACCAAGCAATGAGAAACAAAACCTAGGAGTCAAGCTGGCTCACTGAAAACATGCATTCCTGCTTCTGCTTGAGGGCATCTAATGGTCTCAACTGCAGCAGTATCATATGAAGAGAGGGGGCATCTAGAATAGACTAGGATCATTTAGGTATCCAGAGGTTAAAACTATTTAGCAATTTAGAGGTTAAAGCAACATCTCGACATCTGCCTAGAAAATTACTGGACACCAGAGCATCGTCTCAAATACTTTCCAAAGCAAACATTCAGGTCTCATCTATGTTAGCCTGACCATTTGAACTCTACGCTGTTAGAAAACTGTACTGATGCAAAACAAGATTAGCAAAATAAATCTCAATGTGAATATTTTTAATGTGGTTGAAAGGTTCCTAAGCTCTAAAGATATCCTAAGTACACTGCAACATTTATTGTTACTACCAAAGACAAAAGTATACACAAGTAATTTCTACAGCAAATAATTGAAAAGCAGTGTTCATTTGGATCTAATCTTCTTTCAAGATGGCATTACATAATTAAAGATGTTGCCAGTGCACATTTAAGTCAGCGTCATCCCCACAGGAAAAGGCCTTTTATTTTTATACACTGTGCATGTAAGCTGGCCTAAGTTGCGTGCAAAGACATAAATGCATTTAAAAAGTAAAGAACACCACAGAGCAGATCTCTTATGACGTACAATGGGGACACAAGTTGATTGTAGGCAGAAAACTGAAGGTCAAGTTGCCCAGTCCCACACTGTTCCTTATATCAAAATAAAGTTTGATATTCTCCACTGGCATGAAAGGGAGAGTTTGAATTGATACATTAGGCTCTAATATTACCCAAGACAGCATGCTCTGAGTCAAATACATGCTACAGTACCTTTAAAATTCTAGGTTCACATGCATTTGGGTCAGTTGTTTTAATGCCTACTGCTCATCATTCATAAATGATACAGGGTCAGGCATGAACTTGGGAAACAGACATACCTAATAAAAATTAGTGGCCATCTGCTAAACAGAGAGAGAGAGAGAGAGAGATTTGTGGCCCAAAACCTGCAAACACTGCATATGCTTGATTTTATCCATATGAACAATCCTGGTGACTTAAAAACAGTAGTTAATTTAAGCACTTGTGTAAGTGCTCACAGTATCAGGACCTGTTTCAAATCCCACTGGAGGGAACAGGAGCCTTTCCACTGAATTCTCTGAGCTCCAACACAGGTACAAGTTCACCTGAGTACCCATTAAGTATGGAAGATATTACAATCCATATTCTGATTTGGAGTATATCAGAATAGGTCTGTGAAAGCTAATACAGCTATGCTGATTTAAACCAGCTGTGAACATGGTCTATTATGTCTCAACACAAAGCACTAGGTTCATTTTCAGAAGTTAGTCATAGTTGTGATAATACAGGGAGTACCAACGAACACATTGTCGTACTGCATAGCTGCTTTCTTGGCTAAATCTGTTCCCAGCTTTGGAGCGCTCATGCTTCCCACAATCACCTTCGAGGTCTCTTCTGTATCTGCTCACTTAGTTTTCATCTGCTACTGGGAATTAGATCCAATTGTCCAAATTACCAGGGTGTAGTGTTCCTACTAAGTTTTTGTCAAACAAACTTATTTCTCAGATGCTGAGCCATTCACATCATGTTATGATAATTCTGCACCGCTGTGAAACCATGCTGTATCCATTATGTAAGACCACTCCATCCAAATGCTGCAGCACAATATAATGTCTTGATATACAAACTTCAACACCCAAATTGTTGCAGGCTAGAGCCCTCATCCTGCAACTGGATTTGGGCAAATAGATTCTTGCATCGGGGAGGAGCCCAGTGGGCTTAGAAGCAATGTCTGGCTTACAAAGAAACAATACAGATCCATTGCAACTGGAAATATCAAGCCCATTTTAGGAAAGGTGCCAACTCTTTCACCTAGTAGAAGCAGTTCCAATAAATGGATACAATCCACCATTAAGAGATTTAAGCATCTCCACATGCTATACAGAGATTCCTTAAGGATGTGATGCACTTCAAATCCAGAATGCCAATTCTTCAACTATACTTCTCCAAGCCTAAATGAAGCCAGGAGCAAGAATTTTACTGGCTAGTGTGCATCACAGCCAATGCAGTCTCACAGCAGTGCTTGGCAAATACCAGAATCCAAGAACCAGCGGAGTAAAACTCATGTCCCTCAGCACAGAAGGATGAAAGAGGCTACCTCAGCATCTCATTTGGATGCCAGCAGTCAGCTGTGACTAAGAGTAGCTCAACATGAATACCATCAGATAGCTATGCAGTGGCCTACCCGACATGACTTTGTGGTAGGGTGCGTTTTCCCAGCCAACAAGTATCCAACCAAAAAATTCAAACCAAAAGAAAATCTACTAGCACAACTAGTACAGTTAATGGCAGTCTCAGCAAATATCAAGGACCGAACCAGCATAGTGACAACTACACTCTACATAACTATACTTGAGTTGATTCTTCCTGGTAAGAATTCAGAAATAGTGACAGCAGTACGGAAAAGGTTTCACAGCCACTTTCCCCAAGTGTGAGAAAAAGTGAACGTCTAGAGCTGTCAATCCAGCACCTCTAAGGACCAAAATCTCCCCAAAACCATAGAAGAGGGTAGAAAGATAACTGAATAATATTCCTTAAGGGTGAAAGAACTGATGAGTAAGAAGCAAAGGGGTGAATGACTGTTCTCTTGTGTCCTGCTCCCTGGAGTCAAAACAGCTAATAGCAAGTAGTTTTTCCTTTGTTATAATTACAAGAAAGAGGAAAGATATACTGTGAGTAATGCAGAAACCTTTAAATTAGGTGAGCATAATCTTTTTAAGCATAGACAACCTTTTTGAAGTTCACCACTTTAAAATTAAAGGAATTAAAAGGTCCATCTTTCAAACCAGGCCTCCCTTTTTCTGAGCTTAATTCTGCATCCATACTGATTGTCAATGAAACCCTGGGGGCCACAAAATACAGAGGCCTGGGGCCATATTCTGAATAAGTGCAAAAGCTTAGAGCCACTGATAGTTAATGGTTCTACATCAGTTTTCATGGATGGAGGAGCTGGCCTCTGATTTCTAAGTGGGTTAATGCTGATCTAGCATCAATTTAAATGTGGAGTAGAGGTAAATTTTGGTTACATTCAAAAAGTCTGGTTATTCTGAATGCTAACCAGAACTGAGAGTTTAAAAACAAGGGTAGATTCCGATTACTTTTCTCATGCTACTAGTTACTAAGAGCTACATAACTAAATGCCACCATCATTCAAAAGCAGTAAATCAGGAAGGCTTTTTTTTTTTTTTTTTTTTTTTTTTTTTTTTTTTTTTTTTT